AAATAATAATCAGTTTATCATTCTAACCTAGAACCTAGAGCTTTTTTGCTCTAGCTTCAACCTAAGACCTTCCTCGTTATCGTTAACTCTATCTACGAATTCAGCNTTGAATACCAAGATACCACCATATTTCATTCATCATTTTTATACATGAAGTAATCATTCATAGGTAAGTTTAATAACACCTAAAAATGTTTAAATAAAGTTTACTAAATGCAAAGATTAATTAAATTAATCTATAAAAAGAAAACACAGCGAAAATCATAAGGACTAAAGTCTAAAAGCAATGACGGCCTGGTTGATAAGAAAGTTAATGCAATTTTTTTCTTCCTTGTCCTATTGGTTTTTGTTAAAATAAACCCAAAAAGCACAAAATAATTTGAAAATTTTGATATTTTAGTTAATTAAAATCTGTGAGCAAATTTGAGATGACACACGCTCTTGAATATATATATAGAAAAAAAAAATACAGTAGAACCTCCATTATCCGGATTGTTAAAAATAAACAAAAATTTTACGAATTTGCTGATTTGCAATTGGCGAATTACGACAGTTTATGTACATGATGGAATGCATAACTTTTTTTGTTTCAACAACGTCTCATCCAGCACAGTGGTCGTAAACTCTTAAATATATTTTACGTATTAATAAAAATATAACTTGACATATGTATTTATAAATAATTTATATTCAAATTATATCATTTCTATGACCAAGGGCGGTGTAAGGCATGGATGACGTGGGCCACCGCCTATGCCTTGCGGTCCGAAGGGCCTCGCGCCTCGAAGGTTTACACATTACTTAAAAGCCGTGAATGCGACGAAAAAATTTTACTTGTCATAATATGATAAATTGTTTGTCAAATTTTTATTCATAAAAATGCAGTATCAACTGCTTTTTATTTTATAAAATCCGTCTTAAAGGATCTTTGAAGATTGGTTCAAAACTAAATGGGTTCCAGAAGTGAGAGATTTTTTGAAAAGTAAGGGGTTACAACAGAAAGCAGTGCTGTTATTAGATAATGTTCCATCTCACCCAAATGAAAGCATATTGAAAACATACAATGGTCATAGGGTTTCAAAATTTTTATCAGCTAATATTACATCTTTAATTCAACCCCTTGGGTTGAATTAAAGATGTAATATTAGCTGGATCAAGGGGTTATCTCATTAATGAAATGACATTATTGCAATGACCTTATTAAAAGCCTTTGCAATGAAGGTGATTGTTTGATTAAATTTTGGAAAAAAATGACAATACTGGATGCGATACATGGTGTAACTCAATCTTGGAACAAAATAAAGCCAATAACACTCGTTCGATTGTGGAGGAAAATTCTACCAAATGTAGAAGGTGATTTTTTGGATTCTATTGAGCCCAAGACAAGTGAAATAGTATCTGAAATAAGTGAGATATGTGCAAATTTACATGGCTTTGAAAATGTTGATAGAGAAAATATTGAAGAATGGTTAGAACATGATTCATGTGATGATGGTTTTCAAATAATGAGTGACATGGATATTATTTCCAATCTCATTCAACCCGAAAAGCAAGAGAATGAAGTTGAAAGTGGAGAAGAAGAAATTATCAATCACATTAGTCACAACATGGCCCTGAATTCTGTTGACACTTTGTTGGAGTACATCGACCAATGGGAATTCGAATATAACGACATAATAGCTCTTAGAAAAATTCGAACTGATATTAAAAAATCATTAAAAGATTCCTGCAAACAAACCAAAATCACAGATTTTCGTAATAATAATGAGCATTAAACATGCTCAAATAATTGTCTGCCTTAGAAATGTATAATATGTTGTATTTTAGAAGTAAATAATTAGTTCGGATTATCCGTGCCACCTCTCTCTACCATTAGCCCGGAAAATTGGGAGTTTACTATAATTATGTTATTCAGAAAAAATATGACTACATTTTAAATTCTGTAAACATTGTGAACATGAAAAAATATAAATTTATATTTTCAAACAAATTCTAATCTGATAATGTTAAATTTTTTCATTAAAAAAAAACAGAAAAGGCTCTTAGAAATCCTGTGCAACATAACATTAAAAGGAAAAAGAAAAATTGAAGAACAATGAGATGAAAAGAATATATATATAAAAGGCCAAGAACTTTCAAACTAACATTTACAAATGGAATTTCATTGCCATGGAGACCATCATAGCAGATTAAAAAAAGTAAATAAATAATAATGTTTCCATGGTAATAATAGAATGCTATAATAATAATTACATTTATATAAATATAAGTTATTAATATAACATGCATTCCACTGTTACTATAAAACTATCCTCTTATAAACTGATATATCAATTTTCATTACAAAAAATTCTTTTCATTAACATCCCTAATGATAAATGTTACAATTCAAAAGCATTTGGACTTTGTTTTTTGAAAAATTTTCATCTCCATTAAAACAGTTTTTATTTCTGTGCGAGCACAATTATCTGGTTAAAAGAACAGTTTAATATATTGAAACAAAATCCACTCAAATGAGAATAATATATTAGATAAAAAATTCATTGAAGAAATTAATGAATTTCAATTATATACTTCTTACCTGTTTCATTTAATAAAACAAATTTGTATAAAACTTTCATAAAAAAGAAAAATACTAAACTGCTATTTTATATAATAAGAATGTAAATTATATTTTGATATTTAGCTCTTTAATATTAAATTAATTTTTCTCTTTGAATTCTAGAAAGTTTTAAAATGAATCATAAGTTATTAATATATTTTATATGTATATAATGATACTATTTTTCTTGAAGATGTTCAGATCTTTAACATTGTTACGTTATCAAAACATTACATTAAGATTTAAAATACTTAACTTTTGTTACATAATTTAACAAATAAATTAAACAATTTGTAAGAAAAGAATGTCAATACATTATTATTTATTAGAGTAAGAAGTAGATGTATATAGTATGTTAGTAATTATTTTTTTAAATGCAATGATATTGCAAGAATTTTGCAATATCTATTATATATGATGAATAATTTTGATTTTCTAACAAGTTCCTCGTTAGAAAATCAAAATTATGATATTCAATATTAGCTCAGTTCCCTCAAAGAGAAACAGAATTGATTTATCAAAATTTAGAATATAATTTAATTAGAAAAAAATAAAGAATGAGTTCCTTTGAATTTAATTATCTAAACAACTCCAAATTCATAAAATGGTAAGAATTTTCAATCAAATTTTAAGATCTTTTTCAAAAGTCAATTTTTATAATGCTTATTTATACATATTTTTGCCATTCCTTCTTCAAGAATGATTGGAAATAGACAAAATTTCTACAACTTGTACTATTTATGAACAGTTCATACATTTACAGAACTTCACTATATTCAGATTATTATTATTATTACAAAAATAATCCTTCATCAAACCCTTTAACCAGTATTAAACAAGAGTAAAATTACATGCAAACGTTTTCAGATCCCTCCCTGGGTCCTTTCTCAAGCAACTAATTTTACTCTTGTTTAATACCGGTTAAAGGGTTTGATGAGGGATTATTTTTGTATTTTAATCTGGTATTTAAAGATTCTTTATTTATTATTATTATTTATTCATTCTCTCTTTTAAATATTTTGGCAGCACCTCTCATTTTGCTTCTTGAGGCAGTCACCTTATTGCCTCACCCATCAAACCAGCCCTATATATAACAAAATGTACTTCTCTATCACTAAAAACATAATGTCTTATATTGGCTCATTCAAATTTAAATTTTACATGTGCATTCTATTTGATGCATTCCAATTTAAAACAAACTCTCTGAACCTGAAGCTGGAATCGGGTAAATTCTGAAAAAGTTTGAAAAGTTTTACACGTTTCGGTGGAAGTTGAAATTTAGTGGTCTATAGCTACTTTACTTTATGATTAGTCAATATGTATTAAAATTCCAATAAATCTAAATTCTCTCCAAAACAAAATTCTATATCAAATTTAATATATAGTAGGCATGCAAGCATCTGCTAACAATACTCAATGCAAATTGTTCATACATAATTAAACATAAGAATTAAACAGATTGCTTATTTAAGAAAATTGAAAATTATTTAATCCAAAATATTTTCGGTCATTCTTGGGTTTATCGGACAGACCATTCACATTCGTACACTACGGCTGGCTTCATTAATAAAGTACAGTAATACCTCTGTTTTTGTTGACTTCACTTATTGTCGAATTCAATTTTTTTCCACTAAAAATTTGTCAGTTTTGTCAGCATGCCCACGTAATCTCACTGAAAACAATGGGTGACCCATGAGTTTTCCTACTCAGTGTGACGATGTTTCTTGTTGTGTGAGCATTACTCTGCGCATCTAGCCAAACAATTCTATTGCTTTCCTTCCCTTTTAGCTCCATGATGGGAAGTGCCATGTTAAATGTTCATTTATTCTTTACATTAGTCTTCTATATTAATTTCTTACCGTTTTTAGTATTAAACAGTATAGGTAATCTCTATAAAATGTACTTTGATATATATTTTGGAGTGTCTAGAACAAATTAATTGGATTTATATTAATTCATACGGAAATAATTGCCTCGGTTTTCGTCGGTTTCAGATTTCGCCAATTGTCTTCAGACAGATTATCGACGAAAACCGAGGCATCACTGTATTTTACTTAACTTTTGATTTCAACACGGCACAAATTTATACTCCAAACTTTGTTAACTTTCAGTGTTTATGTATGTATTGATATAATGTAGTTATACACATAAATACTGTACTTATGCAGTGTAATTCAATGTTAATGGTAGGCCCTACTCATTGGTATCCTTCTTTCCTGAAAAAAATACTTTTATAACCTGAAAACTTTAAATAATAATCAGTTTATCATTCTAAATTATAAAAAGATAATTTCTATTATTTTTATAAAGTGTAAATCACTTCAGTACATTATATTTTCAAAATGTTTGTCACATAAACAGTGACCACAACTTAAAAACATTTTAATATTTTACTAACCTTTTTTCATCATAATTATGTTCTGTGTAACCATTTTATCGGATGCTAACAACACAAAATCATCGAACGTAATTCCTATAAGGCATTCCATTATCGAAATAATTTAAATCTAGAAAATTTCGGCTCGATCCTCTAAACACAGAAGTAACGTGACTTGCAGAAAACACTACGCCAAATACGGCCTACAGATGTCGCTAACCGAAACAAACGTTTTATTAATTAAAATATTTAAAAATTTCTCTATTTTTAATTCTCAAAATAAACTAATTATTAATTTATATTTTAATTAACCGATAATTATATAAATTTTACCTTATAAAATTCTTTAGTAACCGTTTATCAGATTATATTCGATAAGAAAATTAATTTTTAAGACCGAGTAAATGAATTAATTATTTTAATTAAATAATTATAATAACGTAAAAAATAATAATTTATAAATAATTAAATTAAAATGTAATAAATTTTTAAAATAAAAATAATATTTGAAATCGACGAATTGACTCGTCGTATAAAAGCGAATGGTGTTACCGGTTTCATAGAGATCTTTCGAAGTCGGAGGTGGCCAGTTTTCGTCTTACGTGATAATTCAAATATATTTAGCGTAAGTTTTCCTTTATTATTAAATAAATTTAATAATTATATATTAAATTTAAACATAATTAAAACATTTATGTTTATTAAACCGCTCGAAAAACAATATAAATCCAATTTAAGCCTAAAATGGCGCTTTTAGAATGATCTAATTTCGATGACATAAAAAAAAAAAAGGATTACTTAATTAGGTAAAAATTAAATTGATTTAACATCTTAATAAGGTCATTTCGGATTCACTCAATAAGAATTTTACTTAATTCATACCGTATGTATTCTATAGTTATAGTAATGAGTGTATGAAGTCATTTGCCGCTATTGATTAAGGTTAAAGAATGGTAGAAGTTACTTTTAGGTGAATTGTATATATAAATGTATATGCTCCAATCAACTAAAAGTAATCTCTACCATTAAATGTGTTATTTATTATAGACTAGTAGAATAGTATACAAAATGATTATGTATAATAATTTTTTTTCATAAGTTTCAGGATATGTTTATATTTTATATATGAAAATGTATATTAGTTAAGTATATATCAAGATATATAAATTATTATATACTTAATACATATCAAAGGATCAATATATTGAAAAATGATGTTTAGAAAGGAATTTAGAGAAAAATCAATTTTTTTTACTTTTTTGTTTAACTTAATACAGTGGTACCTCAGGTTACGAACGCCCCAGGATACGAAATTTTCAGGATACGACATGAAATTCGTACATATTTTTGCTCCACGATACGAACAAAAACTCACCATACGACGTTACATTAGTTCGCATTTTTCATTTGTTTTTCTTACTACAGTTATTTTTTTAAATGTATTACTTGGCTTTAATTTGAGTATGTTTTTCGCGTTGGAACGAATTATTTGGTTTTACATGTAATCGTATGGGAAAAGATGATCCACCTTACGACATTTTCATGATACGATCTCAGTTTCGGAACGGATTAATTTCGTATCCTGAGGTACCACTGTATACTTTATCTTATTAAATTCTATTTAAATTATAATTTTGATGATGATATGTTTTGTTTAATGAAATATTCTTATGTTCAAATATGTTTCTAATTTGAAGATTTTGTTTTTATCGTCGTAATTCTTAAAGAAGTTAAAATTTTATGTAATATTTTCTTCTTTAAGAATCTTCTTTAGAAAAGACTGTTTTTTTAGCATGATTTTAATATCTAAAAGCTAAAATTTTATTGAAATTTATTTTAAATTGTGGGTTTTTCTTTTATTTATTTATTTTTTTCTTTTATGTCAATCATCAGCACTTAGTCTGGTAGAGAAGATGAATAAATCTGTCAGTGTTAATATACTCTATTTATTTACAGAAAAATTAAATAAATAAATAAATAAATAAATAAATATAAAACATTCTGGAAAAGGGAGATGACGACAAAATTAAAAATTGTTGCATTTCGTGGAGTATTGTGTATTTTCTTTTGTTTTACGTTTCTAAGATGTGTATGTACATATAAATATGCATTTTTAAAATACTAGATATAAACGGGTATGTTTTTTTAATTTAATTTGCAAAATAGATGTGTGGTAAGACATTAGCCTACTGCCATGGAGATTGACTTAAAATCAATTCGGGTCTTCATAATTTATGACAGGTAGTATGGATTGAAGTGTTAGCTATCCGAGCTGGACAACCTCATTTCAGGTTGAACCTATTTTAAATGAATGGAATTTTGATCTGAGTGATAGTTTTAATGCCCTGGTTATGTTGTTGACAAATCAAAATTAAGAGTAATTGGACAGTAGAATGAAATAATTATTATAATTATATGATATGATGAAATGATTAAAAAAAATCATATAATCCTGTTTTTAAATGCATGTTTACACAATATTTTTATTATTTAAAATTAAGTGTCTCCATTTAATTCTAGATATTTTAAAAACAGCTAGTAAAGATGAAATTGAGTTGAAAAATAAATCCCCTGCAATTCCAATCCAAATAATTATAATTGAAACGTTAAAAGCAAAATTTCTCTGCCTATAGAAGCTCCTCTTAGCTTCTATATAATGGAATGTGCAAATAATTTTGATTCTTGCAGAATTAGACAAAACCATTCTGTAATAATAATTTTCTTTTTTTTTATTATTTTTTTTAATTTGAAATAATTCATGATTATGATAAATGTGTATCTTTCTATTTTGATGTTATTTTTCTTTCCTTTAGAATACATTAATTTTTTCTGAAAAATAAGCTTATAATTATATTTAAATACTTTTGAAATTAATATTATTCAATATTGATGTGGAAATTTTAATTTGAAAAAAAAATATATATGTATACTATATTTTGAAATAACATCTTGAGTTTTCCCAAACAGATTGTGTTTAGTAAATTGGATATTGATAAAATTGTTCTATTTTACATTTTTGTGAAACTATATGGATACAGTTTCATTAGAGTGAGAATGCATTTTTGACATTTTGGAATTTGGCCAGGCCTGCATGATATATGTGGACAATTTAGTCATCACAGTTTAAAATTATTCTTTTATTACTTTCAGTTGTATTTTGTATCAAATATTTATTTATGATTCATTATCGGTCTGTATAAAATGTAAATAATCATACTCTTATCATTAGTTATATAGATTGGTTCAATGATTGAAGTAATTCTTATAGAATAAATTGAGTTTAAGTCAAATTTTTAATTATATTGATAATGCAATAAATTTATGTAAATTATAGTTAAGTATTTTGCTTTTAATGCATAAGTCTTTCATTTTGTAACATTATTGTACTTAAATTTTAATGTTCTGGTCTTGTTTAGCTATGAACAGAAAACATACTCGGCAAATTAATAATCAAAATAATCAACACCTAATCCGTTGCCGAGAGAGTGTTCTATTCTTTGAGGTTATTCCATATTTGTTTTTTTCAACTTGAAGATGATCTATGGAGTAGATCGAAAACGTTCGTTTTTTTTTAAAGTAAACTCCCTCGGCAACGGATTAGATGTTGATTATTTTGATTTTGCTTGTTTAGCTAGCTGTTTTCTTAAAATTTGCTTGTGATTCAGTTCTAGGTTTGATGATTATTATTGTTGGATTATAATAACTGCTTGAATGAATGAATCAACTATTAGCTAAGAATTAACATATTAACTGCCACTATTGAAAAACTTTGTTCCCTTGGCCATTCTTTTTTCTATAGATTTGTTCTTTTCATATCAGAAAATCCAAATGTGTTCTTTAAATTGTATTTCTTTTTTAATATTTATGCTAATTTTTGAATGCTTTTTGTTTGAGGGATATATATTATATACTTCAAGGCTTAGATGAATGAATTTACATGTACAGACCATGAATTGCAGTTTGGTACAAGTTTGTTGTGTGTTATTTCTTAAACTACATCTACAGAATGCTAAGGTACTACTGGTAGTCCACAGAGCATATTGTATAATTAGTCACTGAGGCACAAACCTTGTACCTTGAAGAACCAGGGGAAATTTTTAGCAAGTGGTACATCATGGCATATTATATCATGGCTATGCATTAAATTATAAATGATTGTTGGGACGAGATTTAATTTAAATGTCTTTTTTTTTTCCTCTCAATATTTTTGTTGGAAATAAATGGAAAGGACTGAAAATCAGTTTAAAACAAGACATCCTTATACTAGTTGTGTTCCAATATTTAAAAATTAATATTTTAAATCTAGTAATATGCACAAGTATTAAAAAGACTTCTATGAAGATTCAAGTAAACAAAAATTATCAGAAATTCTTACAAAAATTTTTTAATCAGTCTTTCAAAATATAAATTCAAATTAAGTTTTAATCTTATTTATTCAGTGTATTTGTAGATACTCTCCTAAAAATTAGATACTTTGATAATCAGATTTTTAGGAGAGGCTCTATAAATATTTCTTCATTGCAATAAAATTAATAAATTTAACTACTGAAAATAATTTATTTTTAAAATGCTGCACAATAATTCATAGCATAAGTCTTTTGAACATTATTATTTTCATGTATTTAATAATTAAATATAAAAATCAAATTAATGAAATCAATAAGAAAGTAATACAATGAATAAGACAGAAAAGCATTGCCAATGCTTTCCTATATCACTACATTCATCACATGACTATTTTATAACAAGATGATTGAGAAATTTTATATAAAAATGATGTCAAAGTTTGCATATTGTTTAATACTAGACAAGAATATACTTTTTAACTGTATAATCAACTTAAGCGTTTTGGCAACAAAGTTTTTTTCAACTGAAGCAGGTGAGCTCAACTATAAGTGTATAAAGTTTTCAATTGCTGTTATAGCCACAACTGTTTTTCAAAGTTTGTTTTGTTAAGTTTATCAAATATCAGAGATAGGTGTTAGTATATGTAGAAAATCATGTATAAAATATTTTTTAATGTTTGATCTTCTATTGATTCACTCTTTTGAATAGCGTAAATACTTTAATAGTCAATTGTCACTTAATATTAAAAAATCATTTTGTATAACCTTATCTCACCTATTTCTGTGTTATGACAAAAAATGTAATCATCTATTTAATTCTATTGTATATTTTATAAATTAAAATAGCAATATAACATATTGATATAATA